TCGCTCTGTCGCCCAGGATGGAGTGTAGGGTGTGATCTTGGCTCACTGCAACCTCCACCTTCTGGATTCAAGCGATTCTCCTGCTTCAGCCTCCTGAATACCTAGGATTACAGGTGTGCGCCACCATGACCAGCTAATTTTTGTATTTTTAGTTGAGACAGGGTATCACCATGTTAGCCAGGCTGGTCTCGAACTCCTGACCTTTGGTGATCCACCTGCATCAGCCTCCCAAAGTGCTGAGATTATAGGCGTGAGCCACCGCGCCCAGCCTAAGAGCACTGCTTTTGGATCTCCTAGCCCTGGTGCTGAAACCTCGCCAGCCCCCTCCCCTCTCAGAGCCTTGGTTTCCTTGTCTGTATAATGAGTGGCTTCGATGAAAGGTCATCGGATCCAGGCGTTCACACCTGGCATCCCATCACTTAGGGAGGCTGAGGCAGGAGGTTTGCTGGAGCCCAGGAGTTCGACACCAGCCTGGGGCCACAGCAAGACCCCGTCTCTACAAAAGATAAAAAAAATTAGCCAGGCATGGTGGTATGCTCCATCTATTTGAGAGGCTGAGGCAGGAGGATGGACTGAGTCCAGGAGGTTGAGGCTGCAGTGAGCTGAGATGGTGCCACTGCATTCCAGCCTGGGTGACAGAGCAAGTCCCTATATCTAAAAAAATAAAAAGTGAAGGGCTGCCAATATTGAATGCTCAGTGCCAGGCCTCATCTATTCAAGGCTACTTTAAGTGCCAGCTGCTATTCTTTTTTTTTCTCTCTTTTTTTTTTGAGACGGAGTCTCGCTTTGTCACCCAGGCTGGAGTGCAGTGGCGTTGGCTCACTGCAAGCTCCGCCTCCCAGGTTTACACCATTCTCCTGCCTCAGCCTCTTGAGTAGCTGGGACTACAGGCGCCCGCCACCTCGGCCGGCTAGTTTTTTTGTATTTTTTAGTAGAGACGGGGTTTCACTGTGTTAGCCAGGATGGTCTCAATCTCCTGACCTCGTGATCCGCCCGTCTCGGCCTCCCAAAGTGCTGGGATTACAGGCGTGAGCCACCGCGTCCGGCCTTTTCCTTTTTTTGAGACACGATCTTGCTCTGTTGCCCAGGCTGGACTTCAGTGGCGTAATCACGGCTCACTGCAGCGCCAACTGCCCAGGTTCAAGAGATCCTCCTGCCTCAGCCTCCACAGTAGCTGGGAGTACAGACACGTGCCACCACACCTGGCTAATTTTTGTATTTTTAGTAGAGAAGGGGTTTCTCCATGTTTGCCAGGCTGGTCTCAAACTCCTGACCTCAAGTGATCTGCCTACCTCAGCCTTCCAAAGTGCTGGGGTTACAGGCGTGAGCCACCATGCCCAGCCTATTTTTTTTTTTTTTTTGAGACGGAGTCTTGCTCTGTCACCCAGGCTGGAGTGCAGTGGCCGGATCTCAGCTCACTGCAAGCTCCGCCTCCCGGGTTTACGCCATTCTCCTGCCTCAGCCTCCTGAGTAGCTGGGACTACAGGCGCCCGCCACCGCGCCCGGCTAGTTTTTTTTTTGTATTTTTAGTAGAGACGGGGTTTCACCGTGTTAGCCAGGATGGTCTCGATCTCCTGACCTCGTGATCCGCCCGCCTCGGCCTCCCAAAGTGCTGGGATTACAGGCTTGAGCCACCGCGCCCGGCCCGCCCAGCCTATTTTTAACTATTTGTTGAGTGCTTACTGTGTGGTGACCATTATTCCGTAAGCTGGGCTACAGCAGTTAACAAAATGACTTCCATGTCCCAGCTTTGTGGCAGGGTGCGCCTTTTATATTAACAGATGTACTTGTTGGCTGTCTCTCCAGCTCCCACTGGACTCAGTGGTGATGGGGGCAGGGCCTGTCTTGGTCATCACTGTGTCCCCAGGCCTGATACACAGCAGGAGTTTATTCAGGGCTGGCTGGCTGCATGAGCTCACTAGAGCCATTCAGGTCCCTGTGCCCCCTGAGCTGTGCCTCTGTCCCCAGGTCTACCAGAGCCTGTTCCTGCGGGGCCTGTCCCTGGTGGGCTGGTACCACAGCCACCCGCACAGCCCGGCGCTGCCGTCTCTGCAAGACATCGATGCACAGATGGACTACCAGCTGCGGCTGCAGGGCTCCAGCAATGGCTTCCAGCCCTGCCTCGCCCTGCTCTGCTGTATGCCGGATGGGGCGGTGGGGGGAGCAAGGAGGGGGGATGCTGGGCCAGCGGAGCCTCCCAGGCCCAGCCCCTCTCTCCCTCTTCTCTGCCAGCCCCTTACTACTCTGGCAACCCAGGCCCCGAGTCCAAGATCTCACCTTTCTGGGTGATGCCTCCTCCCGAGGTAGGTGGGGCTGCTGGGAGAGCCTGGGGGGCCCAGGGACACTGGGGCATTTGGGTCACAACTAGGCAGGGGCCCCTGGTTCCGGGCTCCACTGGAGAGTTGGGGCCCCAGTTTCTCTGTCTGTGAAATGGGGACATGACTGCTGCCCTGCCGAGGCTTTGGTGAGGGCTTGGGCAGGGTTCCTCCATGGGTAGCTGGCTGCTTGGCACAAAGAGGGCTCCCTTCCTGACCCAGCCTGGCTTCACTCCCCAAGCCTGCCCTGAAGTCAGAGGTCAGCCCTGGGAAGTCATTTCAGGGCGCTGGCTGTCTTCGGGGCCTCTCCCGGAGGGAAGATGCTACCCCGCCTCCCTAGTCCCACCGCCAGGTGCCGATCCCGGTGCAGAGCTGGGCCGAGGTGTGCACTCTCCCATTCCCAGCCCAGGCACTACCCGTTGTCCCCAGCTGCTATGGGCTGGGGGCTAGTGAGGCTTCTCTGACTGGTCTGTGTCCCTGCCAGCAAAGGCCCAGTGACTATGGCATCCCCATGGACGTGGAGATGGCCTACGTCCAGGACAGCTTCCTGACCAATGACATCCTTCACGAGATGGTGAGCTCGCTGCAGGGTGGGCAGGCGGGGGCTGGCAGTGCGCAGCTGGGCACACAAGATGGGCTGGTCTGCTTCCCACTGGTGGGCTTGGGAAGCTATGGCTGGTGGCGCCTTGGGGGCCTGGGTCAGGGCTTCTTCCATCACTCAGGACAGAGTCCCAGGCCCTTGCCAGGGCCCCAACTTCTGCTCTCCCTCACCTCCCCACCTGCTATTCTCCAAGGCGCTGGCCTCTTCTGCCAGGCTGTCCAGTAGAGAAACCCCAGGGACTTTGGGTGGTACCTGGATGAACACTTAACAATTATATGTTCAATGTGCATTTAAAAACACTAAACTAAGCCAGACATAGTGGCTCACGGCTGTAATCCCAGCACTTTGGGTGGCTGAGGTGGAGAGACTAGTCTAGCCAACATGGCGAAACCCTATCTCTACCAAGATAGAAAAACTAGCCCAGGAGTGGTGGCAGGTGCCTATAGTCCCAGCTACTTGGGAAGCTGAGGCAGGAGAATCGCTTGACCCCGGGAGGTGGAGGTTGCAGTGAGCCGAGATCGCACCACTGTACCCGTCTGGGCCACAGAGTGAGACTCCATCTCAAGGAAAAAACCCAACAAAACCCACACTAGTTCATCAAACCTGTGACCTCACAGGTGTCGCTGCTGGGGATGAGGCCGAACCAGGGGGCCATGTCAGGCCTGCGTGGTTCTGGAGAGCTGGGCTCAGTGGGTGCAGGTCCAGGTGGACCTCTCGTGGCAGCCACCTGGGCAACGCTGCTGCCTCCCCGATCTCTGTGGTTGCTTTCTTAGTGACTGGGCTCATGTCTCGGGGCTGCCTGAGACTGGAGCCCCAGGAGAGGGGCTGGTGCACCTCCGGCTGGGAGGGAGTCTGGGAGTCCATGCTCCCCTGTCCTGTAGATGCTGCTGGTGGAGTTCTACAAGGGTGCCCCTGACCTCGTGAGGCTCCAGGAACCCTGGAGCCAGGAGCACACCTATCTCGACAAGCTTAAGGTGAGCCCCAAGTCCCTGCAGGCCTCCTAACGAAGCTCCAGGAGGGGCCCCCGGGCAGCCTGAAAGGTGGCAGCAGTGAGCCCTGTGGGCCTCAGTGGCCCGGGACAGCCCAGCTGGCAGAGTGCTCCTGACCCTGGTCACCCCGCAGCCACCCCAGCAGGGTGCAGGCCAGGTTTGATTGGACTGTGGAGCTTTAAGCTCCTGCAGTGCTGGATGAGGTCCCAGCAGCGGGTTTGGGAGTGTTTCCCCTGCAGAGGGCCCAGGGTCCTGGCCACCCCTGAGTGTCTCAGGGTAGTAGTTCCTGGTCTCCCTCCACCTGGCATAGAAAGGGGCTCCTTCTGCTCAGCTCTTGGCTAGCTCTGGAGGCTGTGGTATCCCCATGGGTGTCTGGGACCCAGGCAGGGAGGGGCTGAGGTGGGGGCAGGATCGGGAGCGTGCAAGAAAGCCCCACCCCTCCACACAGCACCACTGCCCCCAGGAGCCAGGCCTCCGGTTACACACCGCCCCACTGGGTAAGCAGCAGGCTGTGCTGCGGGACCCCAGCCCTATGCCTTGGTCTCAGGGGGGGTCACTCAGGATGCTGGACTTGGACAGTAGACTGTGAGGTACCGGGCTGGCTAGGACCCCCGGGTGCAGCCTGAGGCCCAGCCCCCTTGTTTCAGATCTCCTTGGCCAGCAGGACGCCCAAGGACCAGAGCCTGTGCCACGTTCTGGAGCAGGTGTGCGGCATCCTTAAGCAGGGGAGCTGAGCCTCCCAGGGCAGGGTGGGCTCCAGTTGTCTGGAGGGTCCGGATGGGCTCAGGTAATAAAGAAATGGAAGCAGCAGCCAGCCACGCTGGTCTCCCCAAGGCTGGGGTGAGGGTGGCTGGGTGCCCAGGCTGGTACCATCACCCCAGCTTCCTCACTTCCAGGGCAGGGCATTAAACTCCAGGGCACTCCTCAGCCCCTGCACCTGGGAACTGGCACAAAAGCCTCAAGCCCTATCCCACCTGCCTCGAGCACCTGGGGTGTCGGGGGGACCTCCTGGGGTGTGTGTGGCCATGGGGAGCCTGCCCCTCGGGAAGGCGGTGGGTGGCAGGCCCACCCCTGCACCAAGATGAGGCAAGGGGCTGTAGAAAGAGACATTTAATACTTCTGTTTACAAAATTCAGGTGTACATTTCAGTTTGCCCTGGACCATGCCCAAGGCTGTGTGCTCACCTCTGCCGGGTATCTGTGCCCCTCATGTACTTCTGACGAGGGAGGTGCAGGGCAGAGCCTGGGGTCCAGAGGCTTCACTGGGCCACAGGGGGAGGGGAATGTGAATGTGGCCCAGCCCAGAGGAGCCCCCATTTCATCGATTTTGGATTGGGCAACAGGAAGCAGATGTTGGGGCTACAGACCTGCTGATCTGGGCAGGGGTCTGGGGACCCTGGGGCTGCCTGTGTTGGTCTAGAGGAGATGGCCGGGGCCACTTCCCACAGGATGGGGTGGCAGTGGCTTGGCAAGGGGAGGCCTGGCCACCAGGGACTGGAACTCGCTCACTGGAGCCTTTGTGCTTGGCCCTTGGTAGCGCAGCTGCGGCTGGGGCTGTGGTCCCATGCGAGGTGTGCTGGGGGGGTGTGTGGGTGGCTGGTGATGGCAGCTCGTGCCAGAGTGACACAGGCCTCCATGGGCCTGGCTGGGGGCAGTTAAAAAGCTGAAAAGGTACTTGGCTTTGTAAGGGTGGGGCTTGGGAGGCAGGGCCCTGCAGGAGACCATGTTCTCTGTCCTCTGGCAGATCCCAGCTGGCCTCTGTCCCCAGGCTGTAAGCTGACAGCAGGCCGGGGAGGCGGTGAGGCCCTCTGCCCTGGCCTTGGGGAGAAGGAGTGCATGTGTGAGGCGGAAGTGCAGTGGCCCTGGAGAAGGGCCAGGGCCCATCGCCAGCACCAGGCTGGGAGGGGATTTAAAACCAGGGTCCTGTCTCTGAGCCACCCCACAGGGATGCTCGATCCCATCCCATTAAGGCTGTGGGACTCGAGGGTAGGCAGTGGGCCGGGCCCCTGTGGGGTCAGGATGGAGGTGGGGGCTGCCCTGGAGGAACATTAGTGTTTCTGAGAGCACCTTAGTGTTGCCCCGCCTGGGCCAGCTGGGCGAGGAGTTGGGGAGCGGGGAGGAGGCCGGCGCCATGGAGTGGGGAAGGGAGCCGTCACGGTTGGGGGTCAGCGCTAGTGTAAACAGGCATCCCCACCCACCCAGATAAACCCCCTCACCCAAGTGTGGGGCCCTGCCAAGGGAGTACCTCGAGGGCCGGGGCCCAAGTGGCGCCAGCAGGCTCAGACACTGCCCTGGCAGCAGGGGCTCCGTGGAATGCAGGAGACCCAGCAAAGGGTGCCAGCCAGTGTGGACGGAGGGGTGGGGCGGGGGCGCCGGCGAGTCACTGCGGCAGGGGCACAAGCACCTCCACATAGCTGAGCGGAAAGAAGCCCGACTGGCCGTCCAGCATGCCCTCGTACCAGTTCTCGTCAATCTGGTTGGTCAGTGTGATGACGTCGCCCTCACGGAAGCCCAGCTCCCCGTCATTCTCCGGCTCGAAGTCGTACAGCGCCTTGCAGCTTGGCTGGTCCAGGGGCACTGGGGGAGGAAGCAGGCTGTGGGGATGGCGCCTAGGGCTGGGGCTGCTACACCTCACCCCTCCCAGTCTGGGGTCTCAGAGCTGCTGTGACCTGGAGCCTGTGGGTGGGCAGAGGCCTCCCTCCACCCTGCCTGGGCCACCCCCTGCCCCTGCCATTTCTTCTGGGGTCTGGCCTCTACTGCCACCCAGGAGGGAGAATGGGAGAAGCTTGGTAAGTGGTCACCAAAGCTACTCCTGGGAGGTGCTGGGGACACCCAGTGCTGCTGTGGTGACAAGAAATGACCAGATGCCCTCAGCCCTTGCAGCCACCACATAGCCTAGAACTGGGCTAGTGCCTTTGGCAATCCCTCATTCACACAATGAGGCTGAGACCCAGAGGGGTGGCGTCTCGCAGGCTGTGGGGCCTGTGCCCCCCGCTGCTGTCTGAGCCTGGCTCCTCCCTGCTTGAGATGGACAGAGGACAGAGGAGGAGGAGAAACACCCTCCCCGAATGGCTGAGAAGGCACCACTGAGGTCAAGGCAGGCCTGGGAACACTCACACATGCTCCGGCTAGGGGTTCGGATGGGCTTGTCGGAAGATCGGAAAGACGACGAAGCTAAAACAAGCAAAACGAGGAGGTTGTGGGCTTAAGACCATCGGGCAGGGCCCCTTCTGCAGAGGACCGGGACCAGCCCTTCCCATCTGCCTTGGTGGTCCAGATGGAGTAGGGCTGAGAGCTGCAGCCAGGGGTCTGGGGTCTGGCACTCAAGAGAGCCAGGACGAGGCCAGCCCTCGGCCACTCCCACCCGCTGGCATGTGCCTCCAGAAGATGGCTCCATGTCCGGTTACCTGCGATCTTGGGGGCTGTGGTGCAGGGGAAGCCCCCATTGGACTGCTCAGGCTCTCCGAGGTCAAAGGGCTCCCGGGGCTTGGGCTTATACTCCCGCCTGGGGCGTGACGAAGCTTCCCGCATCCTGTGAAGGGAGAGATGTGAGTGGCCCGAGCCCGTGAGTGTCACCGCTGAGGCAGCCCCACCCTTGTATTTATGCTGCTGCCTAGTAACCTAGCCTGGGACTGCAGGAAGAGGCTGTCAGTGGGGTCGTGACACATGGACCCTGGGACACAGCTAGACTGGGATGTCTACCCAGAGGGCCTCCAGCCTGGACCCCCACCTTGGAGCCATCTCAGAGACTGCCAAGCAGCTGGGTCCTGCCACGGCCTCTACCTACAACGCCCCCAGTCGCATCCCCCCACCTCCACCCCCCATTCCCTACCACAGCTGGTGCCTGACACATGCCTAGGCCCCCAAAGCAGGTCTGGCCTCTGTTCAGGGAAGGGAGCCTGGGTGTTCCTGTGGCAGCAGAAAGTGCAGCCAGGGAAGGAACAGGCACGTGGTTAGGAGTCGCCAGGGCCTGCATCTGGGGCAGGGCTGCGTGTTGACTCAGAGTTCTCACAGCCCGGGTTCCTCCTCCTCCAACCTTGTGGCCCCCCAGGCCATTCCACTTGGTCCCCAGGAAGAATCCAGGATGCTGCTCTGCCATGCCATGCGCTCACCCCAGAGTGAGGTGTGCTGCCCACGCGTGCTGGCAGAGGCCCATGGCAGCCCAGGCTCACCTGCGCTTGAGCTTCTCGGCCAGCTCATCCAGGATCTGCACGGCCTGCCGGTGGTAGTCCAGCTGTGCGTCCACCAGGGCCGAGAGCTGACTCACCTGCTCGATCTGTGGGGACAACAGGGCTCAGGGGCTCCTGCCAGCACCACTGTCCTGTGCCTTCCCTGATTCACGAGGTGAAGCCACAGGAGGCAAGGGGGCCGAAAGGGGACAGGGGACTGGGGCCTGTACCCTCAACCTCCCCTGCTGCAGAGGCCAGGTCACTGCCGCCTCCGGCCTCCCAAGGGCATGGGGCTTGTCAGGACGTGGCAGCCCCAGCTACTCACGTCGGTCTCCAGGAGGTTGTGCATGCTGGTTTCTGCCACCTCCTTGGACTCCTCGAACTTCTCCAGTGCCTGGCGTAGCTCCTCATCAGGGATCTTGCCCTGCCGCTTCTTCTTGTAGTCAAAGTCCAGGCGGCGGCCCTCCAGCTTCTTCAGGTGGTGCTGGAGATAGTGGGGGACATGGGTCAGGCCAGCAGCGGCCAGAGACCTGCCCGATGCATGGCCCTGACCCACTGTCCCTGCACCACTGGGGATCCCACCTGCCCGCGACCCAGAGGGCAGTGCCAAGGGTGGCAGGAATGGGGCTGCCCCATCCAGCAGGGGGAAGGGATAGGCCCCGGGCTGGCGCAGCAGCAGCACCTGGATCTCCTTCAGGTCTTTCTCACACAGGTTCTGGAGGGGGTCAATGAAGTTCTGCTTGACCTCTATGTCCAGGGAGTCCTTCACCTCTGCCAGGCGCTTCATGGATTCGCCGGCATCCAGCAATGCGTCGCCTGGGGAGAAGCCGGGCCTGAGACCACTGGACTAAGACACTCCTCAGCCTTTGTTTTTGAAACAGGGTTTCGCAGGCTGGAACACAGTGGCGCTGTCCCAGCTCACTGCAGCCTCGAACTGGGCTCAAGCCATGCTGGCACCTCAGCCTCCCAAGTAGCTGGGGCCACAGGCGTGCACCACCACACCCGGATCCTTTCCAACGTCTTTTTTTGAGACGAAGTCTCGCGCCACTTAGTGCAGTGGCGCGATCTCTGCTCACTCAAACCTCTGCCTCCCAGGTTCAAGTGATTCTCCTGTCTCAGCCTCCTGAGTAGGTGGGATTACAGGTGTGCACCACCACACCCAGCTAATTTTTGTATTTTTAGTAGAGATGAGGTTTCACCATATTGACCAGGCTGGGCTCCAACTCCTGACCTCGTGATCCACTCGCCTCGGCCTCCCAAAGTTCTGGGATTACAGGTGTAAGCCACCGCGCCCAGCCTTTTTTTTTCTTTTAGATGGAGTTTAGCTCTTGTAGCCCAGGCTGGAGTGCGATAGTACAATCTGGGCTACTGCAACCTCCACCTCCTGGGTTCAAGTGATTCTCCTGCCTCAGCCTCCTGAGTAGCTGGGGTTACAGGCATGCGCTACCACACCCGGCTAATTATATCATATATATATATATATATATATATATATATATATATATATATATATATATGTTTTTTTAGTAGAGGCAGGGTGGGGTTTCTCTATATTGGTCAGGCTGGTCTTGAATTCCCAACCTCAGGTGATCCACCTGCCTTGGCCTCCCAGAGTGTTGGGATTACAGGCATGAGTCACTGCACTCAGCCCCATCCCAACTTCTAACAGCCCCCACACTCCAGGCCAAGGGCCTGGAAATTGGAACTCAGAACAAAACAAAGGATCCTAAAATCCCAATCAATACTGGATGTTAAACCAGCCCCCTCCCCACGCTCCTAAAAGGGCCTAGGTTTGCCCTTAACAGGCTGAAGGTGGTGGAAGGATAGATGCTGGCGGGGGGGGGGGGGCGGCGCGTCCAGACTCTGGGGAACCAGCTGGCTTGAGCTGGGGAAGGTCTGGAGCTACAGGAAGGGGCCCCATCGGCTGGACCTGGACCTGCACCTGCCCTGCCTGTGTTGAGGCGTGGCCTCCAGGGAGGGTGGGCGTGGCTTCCAGAGAGCACCACTCACCAAAGTTGGACTCGCCGCCCAGCTCCTTCCCGTGGCGGATCATGCACTCGCCCAGGAGCCCCTCCGACTGTGGGTAGCCGGGGTTCTTCACCTGGCCCCGGATCTTGGACACCGTGTTGAGCATGGTCAGCTTAGCCCGCGAGGCTGGGATAGGATGGCCAGGTAGGTGTGGGCTGCGAGGCCTGCACTCCTCCGCCCTGGCAGGCTGCAGCCCCCACATCCCCTGCCCCACCTTTGCCTCCCGTGCCTGTGGACAGTCCAGGCCACACAAAGCACGGTGGAATCCCTAGAGGGTCCCTTCCCTGCTCCCCCGCTAGCCTCGAAGGAACTGGCAGCGGGTGGAGAGGTGACCAAGCTCCTCAGGGGGCAACACATCCTCCTTCCAAGGGCTGCTCCTCTTGGAATGTGGCTATACCTCTCATCTGGGGGGTCCCAGGGAGGAGGCACAGCAGTGATATGCAGTGGGGGGTGGTGAGGCCAAGGCTCCCAGGGTAGGTGAGGAGCCGTGTCCCTTCTGCTGCCTGCTCCTGGCAGGGCCTGAGTGGACGCTGCTGGGTGTGCGTCTACCCACTGTCCTTGGCCTCCTATGGAGCCAGTGTTTGGGTTTTCCTTGGGGAAAGGTCCGTCTCTCGGCCAGGGAGACCCATCCCAGGGGCACTGGGTGAGGGGGCGGCCAATACAAATAGGTCCCACAAGTGAGCTGAGGGAGAGGCTCCCTGCCAGGACTGCTGGCTGGAAGAGGGGTTTAAGGCTGGGACAGCCTCGAGGAATCAGTCGGCATGATAGTGAAGTCAACAGGGGGACTGAGCTGCTGGCTGAGGTGGAAAGGCAGCATGTGGCGCCAAGGATGGTCTCTGCACCCCTGAATCCAGCTGTGCCTGAAGCCTGCCACCCATGAGCCTGGTGGTTCTGTCATCCCCTACGTTCCCTCTGACTGACAGAGGCCAGAGGGCCTGGGGCAGGCCCTGGCAGTGGCTAGAGCACCCACCTGGGTTGGGCTGCAGGTACTCGATGGTCCTGGCCAGCACTTCTGTCACCGCCTTGCTGGTGACATCCACCTTCTGTGGAGAGAAGCAGCATATAAGATTCCACAGCCAGGCCGGGTGCGGTGGCTCAAGCCTGTAATCCCAGCACTTTGGGAGGCCGAGACGGGTGTATCACAAGGTCAGGAGATCGAGACCATCCTGGCTAACACGGTGAAACCCCGTCTCTACTAAAAAATACAAAAAACTAGCCAGGCGAGGTGGCGGGTGCCTGTAGTCCCAGCTACTCGGGAGGCTGAGGCAGGAGAATGGCATAAACCTGGGAGGTGGAGCTTGCAGTGAGCTGAGATCCGGCCACTGCACCCCAGCCTGGGCGACAGAGCAAGACTCCGTCTCAAAAAAAAAAAAGACTCCACAGCCACTGGGGGCCCAAGGCACACAAGGCCCCCACTGCTGCACCACCTCCTGCCGTAGGAGCCCATACCAGGACCCCCCAACCCCCTCTCCATGTCTTCAGCTCAGCCATGTCCCCACAGCTGCCTGCCCAGGGCAGGGAAGAGAGCTGGTGCCTGTCAAGTCCAGCTGACGAGGCCCCCACACCACCCCAGCTCTCCACACCTGCAGGGCCCCAGGAGTCCAGACCCAGGCCCATCAGCGTTGGCCGCCTCCACTATGCCCTGCAGAGGTCAGGCCCCAGCAGCGCCGCCACCACACAGAGCATGCAGTTTATTCCTCACCTTCTCCATCTCTTTGAAGTCATCGTCCAGCTTGGTCCCCTCGGCCCCTCCGACCTTCTCACTGACCAGCTAGAGGGCAGAAGAGGTGAAACGCTGTGAGCCCAGGGGGAGGAGAAAGAAGAGCACAGGAGGCCCTGGGTGGCCTTCCAGCCACATGGCATCCACAGCCAGAGGCAGTAGGCCAAGTGATCAGGACACATACCTCGGGCACTGCCGTGGGCACCCCAGGGCCACACACTGCCTGTGGAGCAGGACGGGCCTGCAGGACAGGGAGGGTGAGGGTGGGGGTAGCCTGCCCGCCTGTGTGTGTCCTGACTGCCACTCACATGCCCACTGGGGACCCCGCCACAGTAGGCCCCATCTCGGCCACGGTGGAGTCCAGAACCTCAGCCTGGGAACACATGGCTCAGAAGACACTGCTTCCAGAAGTGCCTACACAAACATCCCCACAGATAGCAATGTGGGGATTTGCCCCCATCCTTGAGTATTTGGGGTCTACTTAAAAAAAAAATCCTGCCAGCTCGGTGGGGAGAGGCAGCAGGAGCTGGCAGGAGCAGAGGTGCAGGCGGCTGGGCAGGGAGGCCACCACTCTCCTGTGCTCTGGTGCCCGTGTCTCAGGATGGGACAGCCTGGCCCCTGCCCCATGTGGACACTGAGTTTCACAAGGCAGTCGACACAGGCCTGGCACACCTCAGTCCTCATGGCTCTCAGCTACAGTGAAAGCGATGACAATGACAGGCACTTACAGCATCTCTTTCCTCGTGTAGTGAGAAGGCAGAAGCAGGCACTGAACTCCCAAACCACTCCCTCTGACAGCGCCTGGGATGCGAAGAACAGCCCTGAAATGTCCCATGGAACATAGCAGGAGCCCCTGAACCCCAGCACCGCTGTCGGTGCACAGGCGCTGCTTTCTTCACCCCGGGCACTCCATGTGTGCCTGGCGCCAAGGGATGCCGAACAGAGCGAGAGGGATAGTGTGAGGCCCTTCCCAGCAGACAGCACTTCATGAAGAGCCGAGTGGCTGCCGGGCCCTGCCAGAAATGGAGGCTCCCAGAGGGAGGCTGCCTGAGGTCACACGCTTGGCCCTGCCCTCTGGGGGCCAAGTGTCACAGGGTGTGCCATCTCTGAAGTCATCGGCAACTTTAACGTCCCGGGTCTGATCACTTGTGTGAAGATGTGCACACACAGCCTGGGCAGGAGAGGGAGGTGTTGTGTGCCGTGGGCTGGTGACTATTGACACGGGCCATGGCCTGTGCCCCTGGACCAGGCAACCATGGTGCTCTCCAGGTCCGGTTGGTGCTTGCCTGCCCTGAGCTGTCACAAGATGTCGCCAAGGGATGTCATGAGTGTCCCTGCGGTGCCACATTGCGTTGGCTGTGTGGGGCTGGGGGGTGTCCAGCAGGGCAGTCAGGAGTTCAGGACCTAAGAGCAGGAAGTGCGGGGGCGGGAGAAGCTTGAGCCTGGGGCTCTGCCCATGCCAGGCACCTGCTATACCCTCCAGCCCATGCCTGGAGGTCACAGCCCAGGGCACCACGAGTGCAAATGCCCCCAACCCCAAGCTCTGCAAAAGGTAGCCTGCCCAGAGTACACTGCTGGTCTTGTGTCCTGGCATCCTGCCCAAAAAGACAGCCGCCCCTTTCCCAAGGAATTCCCGGCCCTCCTCCAAGGCTTGGCTCTGGAAGCCCCCACACCACGGGACTATCCTCACCCACGCATCGGGACCCTTTCTGTCCACCTGCCTTCATGTGCGCCGGGCATTCAGTGAACACACGACCTCCAGGCCCCACGCCTCTGACCCGTCCCTTCCCTGCCTGTGAGTTGGTGGTTCTCAACTCAGCCACACAACACCTTGGAAGCTTCTTAAAAACCCCCTCGTCACACCCACCGCGGGAGGGCTAGACTCTGGCACAGGTGAAAGGCAGGAAATGGCCCTTGCACGGCAGGAGAGTGGGGCTGCCCTCCATTTCTGCTGAAGGCAGGAGGAGGAAGGAGCCGCCCTCCCTAGGTGTTTTTGGGGCGTTCCACTCTATTTCCTGGGACAGTTTCACTTCTTGTGATTGTGGCGAGAGAGGGCGTGCTCAGAGCCAGCGGCTGCCGGAGAGGGAAATGAGTGGCTGATGTGAGACTGGACTCTTCTGGGAAGCCGGGAGGAGAACTGAAGCCAGCGGGCCGCGAAACCACATCTTCTGGGCTGAGGCCACCCCGGCCCCATGACCTGCCCAGGCAGGACCTGGTGTGCAGGCTGGCAGGAGCGGCTCCGTTAGGGCCCTTCCCCAGCCCCCTGCCTCACATAGGGCAGGAGGAGAGGCCCTGCCGGCGGGGACCACATCCTGCCTCTGAGGGGAGGGGCTGGGGACCCGCCATGGCACCAAAGACCCATCTGGTGGCCTCTGGCTCTGGCCCCGGCCCCGCCTGCCCATCTCACCTGGGAATCCAGGACCCTGCCTTCCTGAGCCCCAGAACGACTTCTTGAACCCCCACAACCACCTGACTCCTCGCACCCCTGACACCCAGGAGGCTGTGTCCTAACTACCCAGGTCCCTCTGCTCAGCTCCAGCTAAGTCCCTTGTGGTGACTGATAGTCCCCCACGGGCCAGGCACTGGGCAGGGGACACGACCCTGTAAGGTCCCTTCTCTCCAAGGCTCACAAACTAGAAACCGGCACAGATGGACACAGGGATGAATGGCCACAAGGGAAACACGGGAAAAGCAAGGCAGCCAGGCCAAGTGCAGCGCCAGCTGCAAGCGCGGAAACCAAGCGTGGGCTCCTGCCCGTCAGAGCCCTACTCACTGCGGCCTCAGCACCAGCACTGCTGAGCACGGAGGGGACCGAGAGTCTGTGGCAGAGCTGGGCGCCACAGGGAGGCTCAGCAGAGAGCGCCTCTGGGCTCGCTGTCTGGAGTGGGCGTTCCTAACCCTGGTGCCATCTACCCGGCAAGAGCTGCCTGTTGTGGGGCACCCAGCCCCGATGCCCCTGCATCAGAGACCCTGCCGGTAGGGAGGGAAGACCGAGGCCATGGTCCCAGCAGTCCAGCCCTGCCGAAGGAGACTGCAAAGACCACCCTCCACTGACTGAGCCTGTATCAGGGTGGCAGGATGGGTGGGGGACCCCTCCCCACTCCCCCAAGGGCCCCACCTGGACAGGGTCAGAGTACCAGCTGCAAACCCCAAGTGACGAGCCGCAGGCCCCACAAGGGCTGCCATCCTCAGAGCGACACCAGCGCCTCCTCTCACCAGTCCTGGAACAAATATAGGCCAGGCCCAAGAGGGAAGACTCTGCCCCTGCTTCAGATGCTGGCCTCCCACAGAGGCTGTGACATGTCCCCACCTGGGGCAGGGGGAAGTGAGGTTTGGCCAACCCTGCCAGGTGAGAAGTCACCATGGGAGAGGCCCCGGCTCAGTCAAGCCTGGCAGTGGCTTCTGGGAAGGAACCCACTGTTGCCTGCCAGACACTTCCCCAGGGCTTGGCCAGACTGGCTCGTAGTCTTTCAGATCTTTGCCCAGAGGCGCCCAGCGGAGACCTGCCCACTCCATGCTCACGCATCCCACCTGCACCCACCACCTGCACGCCTCATGCATTTTCTGCCTGACCCTGACTTGTCACCTGTGAGCCAGGCGCCTGGGAAATGACAGAGCTGGACACGAAGAAGGGGTTTTGCCCCAGAGCATGGGACTCCTGTGCCCCTGGGAGAAGGGGGCTATTCCTTTGAAGCCTGGCATTCATTAGAGTTTAGACCTTTGGCTCTCTTTGGAGAGGAGCAAGGGATGTGACATACAGAAGAACAGAGAATACATGGTGGAAAAACGCAGAAATGAACTGTGAAGATGCTGTGGACCGAGAGCCAGGGCAGGGCTGCCGCAGGCAGGAGAATCCCAGGTTTTACCCAGAGGGATGTGGGCTGCTGCCCTGCGCCCGGCAGGCTCAGCTGTGGTGGCCACTTGGCAGGAGCAGGAGGAAAATTCTGAATCCTGCCGAGTGGAGCTGGCTGCTGATTTAAACATCTCAGCCGCGAAACCTGATCCACACGGCACGGAACACAAACGCCCGTCTCAGGCTTGGTGCCCCAGCAGACAATCTGCTCTGATGAATTAACAGGGTTGTGTTTTTTTTCTCTTTTAAAGGAGAAGGCCAGCATGGGGGAGGGCAGGGGAGGGCTGCTGTGGCCCAGCCTGCAGGGATGCGCCACATTTGCCTGCGGAGGGGTCGGCCCCAGGGTCCTCAGGTCTCACTGGCAGCCATGCTGGGGCGCTCGGTAATTTCTAGGTTCACAGCAGAGGTCACCTGTCCTCCCTCGGCTGGGAAGCGCATCTCTGGCTGGTGTCCACCTGCCCATTGGCGTTGGTGGTGCTGTGGGGGTGCCCACGCTGTGCCACAGAGCCACCTCCATATCCCTCCCTGCAGTCTTCCTCAGCGGACTCTGTGAGCGCACAGACCACAGGGGCCTCACCCAGTGCCAGACACAGGGTGAAATGGCAGGTGGGCACAGCTGTTAACCACAGCGAATACCTGTGAGAAAGCCTCATCTTTTTTTTTTTTTTTTAAAGAGGCAGGGGTCTTACTATGTTGCCCAGGCTGGTCTCGAACTCTTGGCCTTAAGCAATCCTGCTTCAGCCTCCCAAGTGCTAAGACTACAGGGGTGACACTGTGTGCCTGTCCAAGGCCATATATTTACAGGACTAGGGGACAACAGCTCTGGGACAGGGCACGGGTTGGGGAGCTGGGGACCATAGTAAGGGTCCAGGCCCAGCCACCTGCAGGACCAGGGACAGGGCAGGCAGGACACATGGAACAAGAGCCACTATTCACAGTCCCCATGCTAGGTACTCTGTGCGCGGCGCCCGACACCACGAGGAGAAAGCTGAAGGGGACGTGGAGGAGGTGAGGGCTCAGCCCCTCCTCACAGTGGGCGCAGTTCTAACACTGCAGCCATGTTCAAGGCCTGGTCGGCCACGGAATGGGGCGAAGTCAGGGTAAGGCCTGCAGGAGCAGCAGAATCCTGATCAGACCTGTGTGCAGAACAACTGGAATGCAGGGTTGGGGTGGAGGCCCCAGGGAGGGACGCAAGGAT